CTGACAAGCTGCCTGCACATAAGGAAGCCGCCTTGGCCCAGGCGGAGGGCTTTGCCCAAGGTCACGTAGCTGGTTGGCGCTAAGACAAGGTCAGTGCCTTGGTTGATAGTCTCCAGGACAGGGCGCTCCCCAGCTCACCCTGTGGGCTGTTTATAGGTAGTCATGACAACCTACAGCATAGATAGGCTTCATTCATTCAATAAACCTTTATTGGTGCCTCTTCGGTGCCAGGCGCCAGGGAGACAGATAAAAACAACAGGGCTCGTGGCCTTGTTGAGTTCACGGTCTGAGGGGAGGGAGGGGAGGAGCCTCCCGGCTGCAGGGCGGCCTGGTGGCCGAGCTGGCCGAGTGCTTCCAGCCGCATCTCTGGGAGGCTGTGGTTGGAGGAAAAGCCGGGGGACTCGCTGCCATGCACACGCAGAGGGCACAGGAGGGCTTAATACCTTCCGCCCGAAAGGGAGGGGGCGCTGGGGGAGAGAAAAATGAGGAAAACAAGGGCTCCCTCTATGGAAGGCGGCTCCTTTTGTTTAACGAGCCACTTGTGTGCTGTGACCTTATACAACTCAAGTTAGAATAAATGACTTTGAACGAAAGATTTCCAAGGCTGTTAACTGGGTGTGGAAGAAACAATGTGACGTTACTAAAATATGTCAAGGCCCAAAGAGAGGCACCAGGGAAACGTCCCTGCAGGCACAAGAGTCTTCATGACCATGAGATCAGCCCTGCCTTTGCCCGTGGTTGAGCCCGTCCCCAGCAGTGCTGTGGGGGGTCGAGCCAGGTCAAGGACCCGCTTCTGCCCCGGGCAGACCTGGCCTGGACCCCCAACTGTAAAGCCTTGGGCAGGTTATTCAACTGCCCTGAGCCTCAGTTTCCCCACCTGTCAGGGATCATACAAATACCCATTGCATTGGCCACCTATTGCTAGAAGGCAAATTACCCCAAGATTGAGTGGCTCGAACAAGAAGGGTTTATCCCTCAGAGTGCCTGTGGATCAGGATCTGGGGGCACTTTGGCTGCGTGCGTCTAGCTCCAGGTCTCTGGGAGGCTGCAATCAGATGAAAAGCCAGGGGACTCACTGCCAAGCTGCCGCCTCAGAGGCCGGCGTGCCGATGCTGACCGTTGGCGGGGTGTGTTCTTCAGGTGTCCCTCCCCACATCGCTGCGAGTGTCCCCAGGGCATGGCGCCTGGCTTCCCTCCGGAGGAGGAATCCGCAAGACCCTCGAGGCGGCTGTGGTGCCGCAGACGACCTCGTCTTGGCCCTCGCAGGCCGCCTGGTCTGTCTGCGGTGTGCTGTGGAAGGCACGGGCCCGCCTGATTCGACGGGAGGGGACGCGCGGTGTGGACACCGGGAGGCGAGGGTCGCAGGCTGCCCGCCGTGCACATCGAAGGCGAATGTGTTCCCGGAGCGCTCGGTCTTCCCGCACTGCACCCGTGATAAACGGGGCGCTGCTAAAGGGGACATGTAGCTGCTCCCCACGACCGGCCCAGAACACGGCCCGGACACATTAAGTGCCGTGGCCAGTCATCCAGCCCGTGGGCTTCTGCGCCAAGAGGGGAAGCAGGTTTTCTAATCTGCCCCCTCGGGGTCCCACTTCCCCTGGAGGGGACCCCACGGAGATCACGTGAGCTTCTGAAGGCGATTCTGTTAACTGGGACCCTGATCAGCTACCTGAAATCCATGTTTTCGCACTCGCTGCTAAGCCACGGCTCCCTATAGTGTAGTTTTCCTGAAGCAGCTAACAGCTTGATTACATGTTGCTGAGTTATGCTTGTGCCTAGACTGATCTCCAGGACAAAACACAGATTATGTTCACCTCTGTCTTTGGTGCCAAGCAAATCCTGGCACATAATGGTCTTATTATGTAAGTAACTAACAAATAAACCAACACTAGCCGAAATGACCAAAAAATCAACCGAGCCACACTGTTAAACAGGTCCAGCGGCATGGCGTGACCTGGGCTCAGTGTCACGGGCTCCCTCCACCTGTCACCTCTGCCCGCTTGGCCTCAGCTCTGGACCGGGGCTCAGCAACTTTCCTTTCCTTTCCTTTTCCAGAACCTAGGCAGATGTCCCCTCCAGCTGCATTAGCTCTGATGGGCTTATTCGCTCACCTCTGAGCCCGCCACTGAGGCCGGGAAGAAATAATCTAAAGGTGTGCGCCAGTGAGGACCTGCTCCCAGAGCTGGGAGCGGCTGACGGGGGGCCCGGCAGGGTGGGAAGTGGTGCTGGGGAGGCAGGGGCACGTGTCTGCCCCAGCGCTCGACGTGTCTGCATTTCCATTTCCTTTGAATCTCGCAGCTGTTTTCCAGGATGTTCAGCATTACAGCAATCACCAGCATGGGTTATGGCCAGAAGAGTTTTCTATTTTTAAGTGACACACAAATTATTATGCTCTGTCACATTGTCCCGGCGATCGACTTTAAAGGGCCCTGGCTTACCTCCTCCTGGAATAATAAAGCAGTCACAGGAGTTCTCTGGGCCCCTCCAAAAACCACTCCGCAGCGGTTCACCACATATAATGGAGGGTACACTTGGAAGGCGACGTCCAATGACCAGTCCTGGCTGGACACTTTTGTGTTTTTCAAAAGTTCAATAAGCAGCAGAAGTGACCACAATGAGTCTGAAACTTTATAGCATGCGTCTTCAGGAGACAACGTGCCTAAAACTAGATGGGAAGACTTGTAATTTTTTAAATTAAAAACTGTAGACAGGAGAGGTAACAAAGCAAAATAAGCATGAATCCCACGCTTTTGTCTCAAAAATAAAACCCGAGGTATGGGGAAAATTGTAATATGGAATTCAGAAATCTGCTCTGGCCATATGCTATATTGCATGTTCGCTGTGCCTGCTGTCCTCGAGCCAGAGGCTCTCAACGGCTGGACAAGCTCAGTGGGAGAGGCATAAACATCAAGGCCAAGGAAAGAGGCGGGGCTGGGGGGCACTTTTCTGTCCTTACCTCGGGGAGCACTCTGGACACACACTGCTGGTCTAGGGGGCCAGTGGTGGAGATGGTGGGTGGATCTGCACAGGTCATCACCACTTCTCAAAAGAAAGAACACCTGAACACCTTAACACCTTCCTGGTCGAGTCCCAGGAAGGTCAGCTGTGTGACCTTCACCAAAGGACTGCGGCCCGATCGGTACCCAGCCTCATCCCTCCTGTCTCGGACCTGGTTGGCGTGGATCCTGCCTCCGCCTGACTCCAGGAGGGACCTGGTGTATCACGAACTCTCGGCTCCGGTGTCCTCGTGTGTAAGAAGAGGACAGTGCTACCCCTGCCATAGGTTGGAATGAGGGGGAAAAAAAACAGCTCTTGTGACCATAGCCTGGAAATGTCCCGGCCAGAGCCATCCTACACAGGCCCCTCGCCCTCCCTGACCAGGTCCACTCAGGGCCGACTTTATAAACCGCACCGAAGGGTCCTGGTCGGATCGCAGACCTTGCGCAGCTCTCCGCCGCCTCTGATGCCTGCAGCACTGGGCCCGCACGGTCACGGGTGCGCCCAGCCGCACCTTTGAATACCGCAGTAACCTGAAAACCCTCAAGTCTTCGCACAGATGTGAAAATAACAGTGAGCAGAGGAGCAGCCTCACCCCTTCCTGAATGTAAAGCCCTGGGCAGTTCAGTTCAAGAGGAGACTTTAGCCCATCACAGTTTTTAGTAGGAGACTTCAACCAACCACAGCTTTGCTGCAAGAGCCAAAGCAGACTCCTCTCCTCTGGAGTGTAAGGTCCTTGAGTGTAAGGTCCTTGAGGGATGAGATCTCTTTTATTCAACTTTGTATTCACCTAAAAAAATATAGAGAATATATGTTCGCCGGGCTGGTGTTGCTCAGCGGTTGAGCATCGAGCTACGATCCAGGAGATCCTGGTTCAATTCCCAGTCAGGGCACATGCCTGGGTTGTGGCCTCGATCCCCAAAGAGGGACGTGCAGGAGGCAGCCGATCAATGACTCTCTCATCACTGATGTTTCTCTCTCCCTCTCCTTCTCTCTCTAAAATCAATAAAATCATATATATATCTTTAAAAAAGAGAGAACATAATTCTCCCTAGAAAACTGACCAGCCAGTGCTAGGAAGACACTGACGACAAGGGTAAACTGAACGACCTTTAAGGGGCTATAACCTTGAAGGACTTATTAATAGAATGATTAATTGCTATAAAATGAAAACTATAAAAATCAAAGTAGAATAAGACTGGACCCTCTGCCTAATGAGTAGAGCAGTCACAAGTTCTAAACCTGCTTAAATTTCAAATCATTCCTGAAAGTGCCACCCTGGCCTAGCGACAGCAGCTTTCCCATGGGGTCTGGCTCTGGGGTCCCATGACCTCTGGCAAGTTCTTTTTCTCTCTCCAAACCTCAGTTTCCTTAGCCACACAGGATGTAAAATTACATTTTCTAAACTCTCTTACACAGTGAGGAGTCCAAGATTTCTGCGCACACTTGCAGCAGGTCTCCATGTGAAAGGCGTCCTTACTGCCCTTCCACAAGCTCGTGACCTATGAAAGACACAAGGGCACAAACGGCTGTGACTCAAGGTGGCAAGGGGCAGCGGCCATCCGAGGTGCCCATGTGGAACTTGTGGCTGAGGAGACCTTGCGAGGGGCGGCATTCACTCCTGTTTCCACATGGCGAGTAGAGAGCATCCACCACGCCAGGCACTGTGCCCTAGCACAGAACACATGCCACGGCCGCGACCTAGAGAGCGCTGCCCTCGTGGTGACTACAGGCTGGCGGGCAGAGCAGACGTGGAGAGGAGGGAGGAGGAGGAGCTCCAGGGGGGGAACTGTGGGAGGACAGGAGGGCAGAGCACACAGGAGGGGGTCTACGGCTCTCTCTGCGCAGAGGGACAAAGGAGGCACACTGCCGTGGAGCCCCTGAAATGCCAGCCTACAGGGTCTGGGCTTGAATCAGTACATGGTCACTGATGTCACAGCCAAATACACCTTGTGCTCTGTAACTAAATGGAAGATAGCTAAAAGAAAATTCCCCCTAAAAAGTAATTTAAATAAATTTATTAGCAGGAGAAAAACACCTGAGCATCAGGTACAGGCCTGATCCACAGTGAGCCAACAACAGTCACAACTCGTCCCAGGAGCGCTCGATGCCGTCTGCAGGAGCAAGTCCACGTGCAGCACCCACTGGACAGTCACCAGAGTTTGGGAAGCATGGGACATGAGTATTCCGCAATGTGCAATGACCGAGACACAGTGATAAAATACAACAGCGATACTCACACTCCGTGAGCTGCAGCTATAATACAAACAAGTTAGGTCCTTTGTCACAAAATGGAAAAAATATTTCTATTACAGTTTTATTTCAAGCATTTGCAGTTAGATACAGCTTTATATATTTTCTCACAATAAACAGCAAAAGATCGCCTTTTTAGCATCTGTAGATAAAATATATTACTTGTTTAAGCGTCTGCACTCTGAAGCACATTTTGCCATGTATAGTTCAGGTAAGAGAATGAAATGCTGTGGCAAAATCCTGGCTGATGACCAGGACTTGGGTAGTTTCCCTATTTGTTTTAAAAAATTGACATCTGGGAAAAAAGAAGTGAGGACATTAAAGAGAACCAACAGTATTCTTTTTCAATGAAGCAGTCTAATTCCAGAGAATGGGCTTTCCATTTTGAATTCAAAGTGTGTGGTCCCGAAGCGCATTCTTTCCGGTCCGAGGGGCCCGGCAGCTGTGAGGAGCCCGTGGTGAAGAGGCGCCGGGAGGAAAGGAGGAAAGTGTTAACGGAGCTGCAGCATGGCCACTGATAAGCCAGCTCCCAGAGGCCCTCGGGCCACGCGGAGGCGAGGGCAGCCACACCGCAGCAGAGACACTGCGCTCACTGAACTGCACACATGGAGCTTCTCGGAGGGTTAACAGCTCTTGACATGGGCTCCTGGTTGTAGTTTACAATGTCTGCCTTCACCACCCTCTGTCATAAAAGAAAACAGAGTCATTATCAGGACATCAGAACATTCAGAAAGAGCCCTTACAGTATATTTTCATTTTCTGAACTTTGGTGAACTCCTGACGACAGACATCATAAATGAAGCAGGAGCTGATATTAAAAGAATCAGCCAGAACAAACTGATGCAGAGCTGGGGCTGCCAGGAAAGGGGCTGTTTTTTTTTTTTCTTCTTGGTTTTGTTTTTAAACAAAAGTATCTAATAGCAATTCCTTTATTGAGTCTTTCCTGGTTTTATGACATATGCTTGAGGTAATCATAAGTCTAATAAAAAATGACAAATTAATATGAAATATTAAACCCTGGTAATAACTTAAAGCAAAGGATTAAAATTAATCATTCACATATTTTAACTGATACATAAGGCTTCGTTATTTCAAAGTAAAAAAATGTCATTATTTATTAATATTTCCATAAGCCACTATCCCCAGCCATGGCTTTTTTCAGGATGTTTACAGCAATTACTGTGTTAATGAGAAGAGGTACGAATGTTAAAGAGGAGGCACATATAAAGGAGGAATGTTTTGGGCAACCCAATATTTAAAACTGCCAATTTTTAAAACTTTCCTCCCAAAGCCCTAACTTACTTCCACATAGCTCACTAATGGGTTATAAATAATGACTACCAAAATACAACATGAGAAATTTAGAAAATTACCACATATTCATGTTTTTAAAATAACTGAAGCCAAAAGATAGTTTTAACCCTTCCTTCCTTCCCTCTAACCCACATTCAAGGATTATCTTAAATGATAAATTTAGCAATATGCCCTAGTATTCATCTCAAAATAATAATTTAAATTAAAACAAATCCTTTACTGTTTTCAACTCTTTTACTAAGTCTGCACACACAAGCAGACAAAGAAGAGTAATTCAAGGCAAATTTTTAAAATACTCTCTCAATCACCAGGCGATTCAGGAACAATGGTAAGGAATGGGTAATGAAATGTCCGCCTCAGCTCTCCACGTCACTGCACATGGAGTAAACACAACCACAAAGACAAATGTGTGTGAAAGGAACTGAAATGTTATTTTAATTTGTTCCCAAATCCTTATTTAATTCATAAGTCTCCTGGCAAAGGATCAATTTTCGAAGCTCTAAAACAGGATGTATGCAATACCAACTCCGATAATGTACAACAATCACTTGAACTTCTCTATTCACAAGGGGAAGGGAGCAAGACCGCATTCACTAGTCCTCCCCACCCTCCGCCCCGGCGCAGAAGGGTGACCCTGATACCTGCACTACTGCACTGAACAGAGTGTGCTCTGGGCAGAGCTGGCAGGCCGGGTATCTTCTTCTGGGTACTTCACTATGTCTGCCCTGACAATACGCTGTCAATTCCGTACATGGAAACGAGATGCAGAAGAAAGGAAGGAAGGAAAGAAAGAAAAAATGGGAAGTATGTTCAATGATTGAAAATAGAAGGGAACACCAAAGTAGAAAAAGAAACATACACATAAATTTAAACATGTCAAAAGAAAACAGCAAAATACAGACTAAAAGGAAGGAAAGTAAACAAAGATCCAAGAAACGTTATTCTTTATAATTCCATTTCACTGTAAAGACAGACGTGTCTACTGAACCTCCCAGACAAGTTGTGAGCTCTAGTTTTGAAATCACAATTATACATAATATATAATTCCCAGTATTTCAGAGAACAACCAAGAACTGTGGTGCTTTTCTATGCTGAAGTGCAGTAAAAGTATTAATTCCATTTCCTTCAACAAGCACGACTGAGAATATACCATGTGCCAGTCACTCTACAATGGAAATGCACAGGTAAATTACACAGGATCTGTTCACAAGTTGCTGTGGACGTAAAGGGAAGAGAAATACGCACACAGACAACTGTCGTGCAAGGTAAGTCCCTTACTAGTAGACCTACATGTTGTGGAAACAGAGGAAGGAGTGAGTAATTTTCTTCAAGGTACACAGAGGACACACACCTACATCAGAGGAGCCACGGGGCACTTACAAATTTTACATTTAATATTTATTACTTGTCAGAGACCACCTTTTGATGCTCATGGGCCCACTCATCACAATCCTAATCCATGGTTCCATATTCCATATAAAAATAAGCAGGTTCAAAATGCACTTTTCTGTCATTAAAAAAATCCCCACATACAGTATTTAAGCACAACAGCTGTTTATCAAATATCTAAGAGTTTTGCTAAATAAAGAATCAAAACTCCTCTATTAGGCTGTTGTTTGCTATAACTCTTAGAATGAAAATACTACATGTGACAAGTAAGTATAAAAGAGATAACACGCTCTCCAAACTTTTAAACTTGAAACTATCCTTGCCCTGTTTTACAATTTCAAATATCTTATTTCAGAAAACTCTTGCTTCATAGCAGCATGTAACAATTAACACATGTAGAAAAGCATGTTAATAAGGCTGCTGGCTATGATGACCCTTATAAAGACTGAATAAAGGACTGTGAGTGAATGAGCGGGATGCTACAGCCCATTAGCCTGAGCGGGCTCTGCTCCAGTTCTTTAACAGCGGCATTAGCTTCTGGACAAGACTCCTGATTTACTAGGCACTCAGCCTGATGCTATCAACAGAAGCATTATCAAGCACAACAGCAGGTACTAGGGGAGGAGTATGTCAGTGAAACGCTGAACACCATTCTCTGCCCTCCCCGAACCTAATTGTTCCATGACAAACTGTGGGTTACAATAAAGAAAAGGGATTTTCATGATCAGTAAGCAACTCATTAATCCTCCAAAATGTTGGTTTAAACCCTGTCCTATAAACACAACCAGGTTACTGACCTCTAGTCAAGACATTTGGTCGAAGTAGTGACTAAGAGAAATGGCTTGGATATTCGCCATTAATTTTCATGAAGAACTAAATTAATGAAGAACTAAAAAGGCAACATCTTTCTTAGGGGCCTTGGTTGTTTGACATAAAGCTTTGTACAAAGTTTCTGAAGTGGAAGCCAGAACCAAGGCTTTACTTTCTACGAGTAGCAAAGCAGAATTTCCATGCCATAAACTTCACGGTGGGTGATTTCACAGGAGTCAGCTTGTTTACAAACCATTCATTGATGTTTTTAGAGAAAATGTTACCTACAAAACACCAACTTTTATTTGAAAACCAGCTTAACCCTTATTATGTCAGAGAGTAACTGGGGTGGGTACTGGAGATGGAAGTGGTAGCTTCCTAGGAGCTGGGGTAGTTACATATAAGTAGAGATGGACTCGGGAAGATGCTAAAGATATATTTGGTCTACTCTGCAATTGTGTCTTAATCCAGATAGTAGCAACATGTTTATCAATGCAGAAGTCATAGTCTGTCATGCTCAAGATATAGAATAAACATACCTCGAAGGCTAAAACACCTGCCACTATCATTCATTCAAAGCCACTCACTATGTAGGTACTGAAGACATTCAGATAAACAATACAGGATCTCTGTTTCTGAGATGCACAGGAGTCCAGCATAGAATACAGATGTGTAAGCTATTAAAGGATATTGTGACTGCTATAGATCCAAGTGTAACCAGATTACATATTACCACTTAAAGCATGGGTATAGCAACATAAAACCATGGCACTGTGCACACAGCAGGCACTTGAAGAAAGGGCTCTTCTTGTCCTTCCACAGAATGTGCCAGAACGTGCTGCCAGTAATATTTATAACTTTAGGCGAGTTACTCACCTCTTTGCTCTTCAAGATCTCCTACTCTATAAAAAACAAGGTTTATTTACATGGCCTCTAAGGTCCCATCTAATTTTGAAACTGAATGAAGAAAATACATTTAGAAGGTGAATAGAAAAGATATATGATACTGGAAATCCGTTACGCAATGCTGTGTCTGAGGGTGGAATAGTATCAGCAAAGTGGGTTAGATGTGCTCTGCAAGGGAGACAAGTGCTGTTTAGGGTTAAAAAAAGGAGAGAGAGAGAGAGAGAGAGAGAAGTCCCAGTGCAGTCTTGGTAAACTTGTTGGAGAAAATTATAAAAAGATTAACATCTAGGGAGGAAGAATCTAAGTTCCTTATGGCTTCTTAAGGCAGGTCAGTGTTCAGATAAAGCGGAAAACAGAAGGCCCCAAGGATCAGGGTTTAAATAGCAGTTGTGTGGTAAGAGAATTAAAATCTTGGGCATCCTACACATGCCCTATGCCAGAATCCTTTATGTAGAGTATGAAAGTATTCAGAGGGCACATAAAGAAGATATATTTTTGGCAAGTTTAGTGAGTATCTCAGACATGAAATTTTTGTTTAGAAGAAACTAATGCATACTTAGTTCAAACCAAACAGAAATTCATAGTTTATTAACCGGCAAGTGAAACTGTCAAGGCTTAAAAATGTATTAAGTACTCTGAACGCCAAGTACATATGGAAAAACATTCTTGCAATTCAGATGGAGATAAGATATAGGACAAAGTGTCTTCTTTTTAGACTACCTACTGCCTATTAAAGAAGTGAATGCTGAACTTCCTAGAGAACAGCAATAGTAAAATTATTTCCTCTACTAAAGGTTTGACTACTTTGTAAACAAAAATTTCTGAACAATCTGAGAAACTAGGACCTTTTTAACAACCCTTCCCAACTTTTACACTGTCAGAGAGAAGAATGGTTGGGGCAGGGGAGAAAACAAGAGAACATAAACAATTAGCTATTAACTAAGTTGGGAATTGAGAGAAATGCAACTAGAGTATACTTAATGGTTTAAATATCTGTCTCCCCATTTATGCTGGGAGTTCCCTGAGGACAAGGACTTTCACTTAGTCATCTCTGTATCTCCAGATCCTACTGTGGCCCCTGGCACAAAGTAGCCAACTTGCTCCATCTCCCTGAGTTATCCCTGAAGCTGAGCACTGCCACTGGGCTCAGGCACAGCACACTTTCCTTCTAGGGGGCCCACCAATCAGTGGGTCTCCCCTTCCTCCATTCCTGTTGGTGAGAAATGTCAGTGTCTTGGACTTCTCTCTTCAATCCAGTCATTTCATAAGCCCTGCTGATTCTTCTTGGAAAAGTCTCTTACATCTATTCCTTCCCATCCACTCTGATTCTGGTCCTCAATCCACTAAGGACAGTAGCCTACTCTCCTGGCTTCAATCTCTTTGCCATTCAACCACACAAAAGCATCCCATTTGCTTAATCCTATCTAAAAACTAGTTTATTTCCCTGCTTCAAAAATTATTTCCCCCTGTCAATGTGTTAGATAAAATTTATCACCTTGGCATTCATAAATCTTCATAATCTTTTCTCAAATTCCTTTTACACTCCAACATAAATAGCCATTTATTTTCACCAAACTGCTCTTCTTTTTCCAAAATACAACCCAAGCTTTTCAACTTGCTATGCCAGCTTCTCTTTCAGCCATTTTCTCACCACCACCACCCCACTCCAAACTGCTCAATAACTTCCCCCAACATGGTAGAGTTGAACGTCTAGGGACACGACTGTCAAGACAGTCCTCAGTTCAAACCCCACCACTGTCTAACCATGGCTTTGTGGATCCAAAGTTACTTAACCTCTCCATAGTCTGTTTCCTGCCCATAAAATGAGATGACACATGCGCCTCACAGAGTTATTTTGAGGATTAAGTGAGATAACACAATGCCTGGCACATAATATACTAATTTTCTTCATTGAAGGCAGGGACTACATCTTAAACTCCTTTAAATCATTGTCAGACTCGCCACTATACCACATTATAGAACATATAATCAATAAATCATTTATAATTATTTGACAATCACTCATGGACTCTCTAATTAACCAGACATTCTTTTTCAAACACCATTTAGAAATATAAGCTAAAAAGCAGAGGATGCAATTGGTCTGCCAAGTTCTCTGTGATCAAGCAAATTATGGTGATTTTTCTTTCTTATATCCTGCCTCCTAGGTCAAAAACAAGTAACTGTTTTTATGTGTCTGGGAGCATTTTACATGGCACAAAATATCAACACCGTGGCTAGCCATAGTAAGTGCTAAAATAAATGTTGTTTGACTAATGAGAAATGGAAAGTAGCAGATTTCCAGAGGTGCAGGTATTTTAATCAAGTCCTAGAAACGGCAATATCAGCATAACAATTTTTAATAAATGCTGTTTTAAAACACACACACACACACACACACACACACACACACACACACACACACAGTAACCATAAAAATGAGGCACTGAACTAACTCTAAAAGAATGAAACAAAAACTTTAGGATAGGAAAGGACAATGACACCTTTTAGTTGCATGGGGGTGGGAAGGGAGTGGAAGGAATTCTGGAAAAATGTAATTTATTTGTTGCTTCTAAGCAAACCACTTCTGAAGCTTAACTTCAAACTATAGGCTCTTACTCTGATTTTTCATTCTATGAAAGATGTAAGCTGATGTACTATTATAGTGGTACTTTTTAATTTTTTTATTTCTTTTTTCCATTGCCATTTATCCCCTCTGCCCCCCCAATCCCCACACTGCCGCCCACGTCCATTAGTACAGTGCTATTTATAAACGCTTGACTATTGATATTCACACTTATTTCTTAATCTTAGGAAATTGTCTAGGACTAGGGAAAGGGTTCAGAAATCCTCAATCAATATCATTATCAAATTAACAATAAAATACCATCAACAAGTAATATCATTATAATGGAGGGCATTTTAGAGTATAAAGTGCACAGACTTTTAAAAAATTGAAAAATAATGTTTTACCACAGCAAACATGGAAGATGTCAAATGGAGAAAACTCTAATTAAGACCTAATTTTAATAAATAGTTGGGATTTTTGTGTGAAATATTTTTTAAATGGTGCACAGTAATCCTGGAAGAACTTAAATACAAAACAATACGGTAAGCCTCTTAGCCCATTATTTAACCACTGATGAAATGTCTATTATATTAATCTCATTTTTCCAACAAAAAGGACAAACTGAAGTTTCAACAGTATCATAGTTTGGTAAAAAGTTAACATCCTTCGTCTTCTGCAACCAACGGTGATTCACACACACAATTTATAAGGGTTTTAGGGATATGTACATAAAAATGCATAAATGTGAAAGAGTTCAGGGGTGAAAATAATGTCTTTTAAGAAATAAATTACTCTTTAAAATATAAAGTTCAATATAATCACCTGTGACTGTTCTATTTCTGCTTTGTTTAACTTGATTCCAAGGATTTCAGCAGCAACTTTCTGAAAACACAGGAAGACCTACATACCAAAAATAGGTTTAAATGATTTAAAACAGGCATGCTAAAGTTACTATCAAATAAACTGAACTTTCTAAACAATGATAAACAGCAAGAATTGCAAAAATATGATGTACCAAGTTATTCCAAATATAGCTTTATTTGTCAAATACAGCAAAATTTTAAGTGTAATAGTTTTTTAAATGATTAAACCCATAATTTGAAAATTCATGAAATGCAGTGAATTGGTCTAAACATAAACATTCATCCCTAAAAACTTACATTTTTAAAGATTTAACAAAAGACAATTAATTATAGCTACCACATTAAAAAAAAATACATTAGCAAAACAAACTCCTATAGGTGCTGAAGAAAATGAGAATTCATTAGTCTATACTTTACCACCTGGGTTTTTCACTGTCAACTCTATATTGTCTTTTGACCTGGCTTGAGCCTATACCTTTAATAATCTTTGTGGCTCTCATCAATTCAATAAACTCTCCACTTCTTTTGAGCAAAACAACTTAGAAATCCTTACTGTATTTTACCAGTTCAAAGTAAAGGAGCAGTATACTCCATTATCAGTAGACAGAAATCTACAAAGTTTTCTGTAAACAGCCTTTTCATACACAGGTAGCTGATGCTGAGTCCACTATGATTCCTAGTGCTCCAATCCAGAGTTCACCTTTAAGGAATAACTTGTCTTTGCTTCGTAAGTGTACTATCATTTTCTTAACGCTGCTTACTTCATGATTACTTACTGAATATTTATCACAATTTTATTAATTTAATTATGATTTCTAATAAAAAAAGAGATACATACTACAAAAGGCTTATGTCATTTGCACCTCAAAAAGTAGTATGTATTATAGTTTACTGATGGTCAATGTTTAAGGAAAAACCGGAAAGTTAGTGTGGCGGAACGGAAAGGGGGATTGTAAAAGAAAATGAGCGAAGAGCCTGGCCAGGCATGGCTCAGCGGAGGAGTGTCCACCTGGGATCCAGGCAATCGGGGTTCAATTCCCGNTTGGCAAATGGCTGCCTTAAGATAGTTAGGGCTTGCCCGGCCGGGCGTGGCTCAGCGGTTCAGCATCAACCTAGGATCCAGGAGATCGAGACTCGATTCCCGGGGTCAGGGCACATGCCCGGGTTGCGGGCTCGATCAATGGCTCTCTCATCATTGATGTTTCTATCTCTCTCTCTCCCTCCCCTTTCCTTTCTCTGAAATCAATAAAGATATATTAAAAAAAAAAAAAAAGAAAAAGAAAATGAGCAAAGAGTTAAGGGAGTACAAATCATGTACAAGCTGGTAGGCCATCAGAAGATCTCCAGGGCTTTTACTGTGAGTGAAATGGAAGCCATGGGACAGTGGCCTGATGTGATTTCTATTTTAATAGGTTCAACCTGGCTGCTGTACTAGGTACTCAGAAGAGAAGACCAAGGGTACAAAAAAAAAAACCAGCAAAGACACTAATGTAAGAGATGATGAAGGCTTGAAACCTTCAAGCCTTGGTAGCAGTGGAGATGGTAAGAAATAAGCACCAGATTCTGTACATATTTTGAAAGTAAAGCCAACAGAACTTGGTGATTGACAGATAGATGATAGATATAGATGAGAGAGAGAGATGGATGACAGACAGACAGATGTGGGGTGTAAAAAAAAGAGGGGTTGGGATGACTCCAATATAATTTTGGCCTTAGCAATTGATAAAAGAACTGCCATTTAATGAAGTGGGAAGACTGTGAGAGATTTGAGGAGGGAATACCAAAGCTCAGTTCTGGACCTGAATTGAACTGGGACTGCCTATTAGACATCTAAGCAGAGCTGTTAGGTGGGCAGCTGGACACTGAGTCTGGTCAAAGCCACGAGACTAGATGAGGTCACTAAGGAAATAAGCTTAGAAAAAGAAATACCCAAAGACTGAGGCCAAGGGCACTCCAATATTTAGAAGTTGGAGAGAGAAGGAATCAGCGAAGGGGACTGAGAAACAGTATTAACAAGGTAGGAGGAAAACCAGGAAGTACAGCATCCTGGAAGCCAAGAGAAGAGCATGTTTCAAAAACGGTCATCACCTACTTTACACGCTGTAAGGAAGTCAAGTAAGGTGAGGGCTAAGAACTGACCACTGAATTTAGCAAAAGGGACGTCATGGGTGACCTTGGTAACAACAGTTTGGGTGAAACCTTTGGGGCAGATTCTGACTGGAATTGTTCAAGAGGAACTCAAGAGGAGAGAACTAGAGAGAATTCTTTCAAAACATTCCACTGGGAAGTGGGGGAAAGAAGGTAATATCTAGAGAATGATGTGGGATCAAGAGTTTTCTTGTTTGTAAGTTAAGAGAAATTACAATAGTTTGTTTGCTGATAGAATAATCCAGTAGAAAGAAAACAATGATAAGCAGGAAGGAGAGAGAAATTGCTGAGCAAATGGTGGTTAGTAAGCAAAGAACAGGCTCTAGCTAGAAGCATGGACAGCTCATCCCATAGTAACCAAAGAGAAGATAGAATATCTGGGAACAGATGCAAGGTGGGAAGGAGACTGGGGGTAAATGTGGTGGCAGGAGTACATGGAAGTTGTCCTCTGTTTAAATTTATTATAAAATAGGAAACACAGTCATCAGCCAAGAGAATGGACAAAGTTTTGAAGATCTGAAGAGAGGAGAGAAGCTATGGACAATCATTAGTTGAGGGGGAAAGACAATGGCCTAGGAACATGGAGCATAATTACTCAGCAGCATTAAGGGCCCACTTAGTGACTGAATTTTAAGTGAAAACTCCAGCATGCCTCTGTTTTTCTCTGATCATGTTCAAGTACATGGGTGCAGCCATAAAAAGGTGGGGGCTTGATTTAAGCCAGAGTTAAGGTTTAGCGAAGGGAGTCCAATAAAGTGAAAGAGGGGAATGGAAATGGAGGGTATTTGCATGGTAACAATTTTCACTGGTCATGAAATTTAAGTTAGAAAGAGAGAAAATGAGGACATGAAAGTAGGTTAGGGACCTTGAAGGGTGTTAGGGTCAATGTCTTCTAGGTCCTGCTGAGGTTGCAGATTGATTGGGGTTAGAGCAGTCAGAGGTGTGAGCTAAAAAGACAGGATGGTGGTCTCTGATTAGGATCCTGATATAAAGATATGTGACAACAGAAGGACTGCAGATTTGTGATGACAATGCATGGGACTGAGTGGCTGAGGGAGGGTAAAGGACAAAGATACTGAAATCACTCACTATTATGACAAAGGTAGTAAGTACTAGAGAAAAGTACAGTAAACCAGGAGCTCAACTCCCCCAGCAATGAGGGGAAGTAACCTGGAGTTCGAGGTGACTAATAATTCTTAAAGTGATTCCACCAAACCATTTCAAAGTTGCATTTAAAAAGAAAACAGTGAGAGTTTTTAATGGTGGTTCAACATAAGTATATAAAATATACTAAGCAGTTAAACACAAGCTAAAATACTGGAAGTTAAAATAATTCTAAAATGGCAAAAGACGCCTAGGAAGATTAATGAAGGTAGAAGCCCAACCCATGAAGAGATTTATCAAGGAATATTATGTGGGCATATACCCAGCTTTGTATTATCCTAGGGGAAAGAGTTCCAAGAGGTCAGATTTTTAAATATCAGATCTCAAAAAAGATTAAACACCCTTTATTTAATATTTATCCTAAGCATAAAAACCATGAAGGAAATCATATAGGAAAAATATCAAAAAGATTAAACCACAGAAAAAATTCAAACTTACTTTGGGTGAAAATGTCAAGAAAATTAATAAACAAAAATCTGAGCAGTAAAGAATATTTGCAAAACTTATGACATATGGCTGTCATCCCTATTATAAAAATGGTCACAAAAAATTTAAAGCATATTACATACATAATAAGCAGAAAATAGATGAAATTTTTAAATGTTCAACCTCAACAGCAATCAAAGAATTTCAAAATTAAATAGCAAAATATCCCTTTTTTGTCTACCAAATAGACAAATATTTAAAAATAACTAAATCCTGAATTTTAAAAAAGAGCATAGTGGTATGGCACTCAGACAATGCTGGGGGTGGTATAAATTAACTTAGCCTTTCTAGTGGTAATTTGGCAATATGTTTCAATTAATTTTCAAGGAATCTATATAAAGGAAATAATCAGAGGGATCACTTTGTAAGTTATATAAATGTCTAACCACTATGCTGTATGCCTGAAACTAATATAACATTGAACGTCAACTGTAATTAAAAATTTTTAATTTTTTTTAAAAAGGAAATAGTCAAAACATCAAAGCTTATGGATAAAGTTTTATATTAAAGTATTATGTCAAAACTTGAAAACAACCTATATGTCCAACGACAGGGATTTGGATGAATTTTTTTAATATTTAATGGATTATTAAATCTACTTAGTAATATTAAATGACATGGCAAATTTTTCTACAGATGCATGTATTAAATAAAGAAGTAAAACAGAATTATTTCTATATTATGATCTTAATTCTTTAAAATAAATATTCAACATGGTTAATATGGTGAGCCCTGAGGTGTCACTACTCAGGTTTGCAAATCCTGTGCCCACCACTTATTACCTCTGTATTCTAGACGCCCATTACACAGACTTGCTAAGACTCACCTATACACCAGAGGCAATCAGAGTGGCATGGAGCCCGTCACAAAGTGGGCGCTCATAAGTACAATCTGCAGCAGGAGCACTAACATTTGTGAGGAGGAAAAGACTAGGAGGAATCGTAGGAGGTTATGAACAGTCACCTCTGAATGCTGAGATTATGGGTGATTTATATTCTTTTTAACTCTTGTATTTTTAAATACCCTAAAATAATCACAAAATTATGACATGAATTATAAAATATAAACAGAATAAACATGTTATATCTAATCTAATCTTCAATAAGCATTAATTTGTTGCAAAAGTAAAATAATGGAAGTATAGTTCCTATGAATATTAATAAATAAATGTAAAACCTCACTTATAAGATTCAGTATTTATTATTTCACTTACAGAGTCTCCTGTCTTTGCTGAGACAAAGTGGCTACTAAAGCCATTTTCCTGGCAATACCGTAAGTGTTTTTCAGGTTTTACTGTTCGCATATGCTCCAAATCAACTAGAAAGGTGAACAAAAACAGGAAAGAAAAATTAATATTAGAGTCAATCAATATATTTTAACATGTTTAAGTTTGACTTATCTTCCAACATTATATCCCAGCTTAGACACTAGCTGTGTAATCCTGTGCAATTTCCTTAACTTCTTTATGCCTCAGTCTCTAAATCTAAAAACTAAGAATAACAAATATACCTACCTTATAGGGAGTGTTTGAGAATTAACCCATGTATAGTGTAAATGATCACACCTGATAAGTGCTCAAAAAATAAATATCATTCTTATTATCTATATACTTTCAGGCACATTAATGACACTCAAGAAAGATTTACTTAGTATAATGCGTTTAAACATAGTATTAATTGAAAGATGCACTTACCCAAGCATATTTAGTTGAAACCATTTAATTACTTTAATAATTAGAATAGTTCTGCAATTTTTATAAATATTAATGTTTACAGAAACATAATTTTCTGTTAAAAGATGCCAATATTTCATAGTTTATTTATTTAAAGTCATAGTTTAATTTCACAAAGATACAGCTCAGCTGCTTTCCAAACCTACAGTATGCATTTTGAAAGTAAGAGGTGAGCATTTATTTCTTTAAATACTTGTAGGTTCTTTAAAGCAAAGCACAGTATTCACATCCAATACTGGTTTTATCCGGTACAGGCTATTTTTTCAAATGTGATCCTTTATTGAACAGTTTCTCTTTTTACAACACTAGAAACCCTATAAGGGTGTTGACTCAATGCCGTCAAATTATAAGGCAAATATATTCACGGGATTTAAGGACAACTAGGCTCTTTGAGTCAATATATGGGGAAAAAAGTTAAACTGATTTCCTGAGGAAGGGACCCAACTGACTTGTAAAAACTTGTAAATTTGCAAATCTAGTAAGCCTACATAATAGTGGCAATTGATTATCAACTAAAAAGTGCTCTCACTTTACATAAAAGGTTTTATTTAAAATTATATTGAAGGTCTTTAGTTTGTAGGCCCAAGAGATCTTTCTCTAGGAGATTTTTTATTTAGTCAGGGATTCCTGAGTCCCATTTATATTGCTTAGCTTGAATAATATGGAGCTTTTTTCTTTTCTGGCCACAAGTTGCTGTTCCTTAAACATCTCTGAGACCTTATTTACAAGAACAGGCCAAAAAATGTCCAGATACCACAGGCATCAATTTGTAGAAGACTAAAATACTAAGCTATTAGCACTGACATTTATACATCTAGGTTATCATAATATTAAAGCTAAAATACTTTCCTAATTCAACAAGAGTAAGAACAAATCCTAACACTAGGAAAAATCCCCAATGAAATCACTACCCAATTTTTAAAAAATGAAGTTTGTCATTTTGTGTGTATTTCTTTTTACAAATGGGACAATCTATCATTGTTCAATTTTCTTCTCTTTTTTCCCTGCAGCTCCCTAACTACCATATGAGTTATCTATAGCATTGGAGGAGTTACTATCCAAGCACACGTTTTCCTAATAAAGACACCAATAAAAGACCAGTATGTTAACTAATCAGTTGGGGGGCATTTATTCAACAAACATTTACTGAGTACCTATTATATACCAAGTACTGTGCTAGGCAGTAAGAACCCAAAGATGAAAAAGATACAACCCAGGTCCTCAAAGTCATCCCCAGGATTATGAACATAAAAGACCACTAAGGATGTGAAAGTTATTTTAAATAACTGAGATTCTGACAAATAAGATTAGAGACTTTTTTAAAAAGCCCCTCACAGAACTTGTTTTCTTCTGTTGTGTTAGAATTTAGTGGGCAACACTGAAGAGGGCTGTTACTACAGTACTAGGAAAGTCTTTTCTCCATCTTTAAGAGCATTCTCGGGCGCGTACCCAGCACCTATCGTACGTGTGGTAACACTCCTACTGCAGTAATGGCTCCACTCCCTCGACATCCCGTGAGCACACCGCTCTTCAAGGTGTTACGTATCTTACACACATGCACCTTTTTATCCTCACCTGGGGGGTGTTTTCTCAATTGATTTGAGAGAGAGGAGGGGGGAAGAGAGAGAAATATCCACTGGTTGCCTCCTGCTGGTGCCCCAACTGGGGATCGAACCCGCAAACTAGGTATGTGCCCAGACCAGGAATCAAACCCACAACCTTTTGGTGTGCGGGAAGATGCTCTAACCAACTGAGCAATTTCCTAATAACAGTAACATGTGCTCTTTTCCCAAATATTCAGAAAAACTATTATGAAAATGAAATTTTAAATGCCATTAACTAAAGATAACTACTGTCAACATTTTGGGCTATATCCTTCCAATATCTAAGCAATTGGAAAAAGGCATTAATACTGTATGTATGCCACTTCTTTTACCTCAATCATACTACATCCTGCTTAACCACGTGCTTAACAAATTCAATGGAAAACCACTTTACTGGTGATTCATTCATTCAACAAATATTTGAGTGTCAGGCACTGTCCTGGATGCTACAGATAAAACAATGAGCTTACATTTTAAGGAAGGGGAAGGACCAACACGTAAATTATATAACATGGCAAATGCTGATAGATTTTATGAAGAAAAAATAAAGGGTGCATGAGGACTGTGCTATTTTAAACAGGAAGGTAAAAAACCTTAAGGCGGCTAAGGAGCACGAAAGCCTGGGAGAAAGCCTTCCGAGCAAGGGAACCAACTACAAGTGCGAAGGTCCTAATGAAGATTATTCTCCGCGGATTCAAGGAAAAGCCAGGAGGCCAGAGTGGCTAAAATCAGTTGGCAAGAGAGGGAAACAGCGTGAAATGAGGTTAAAAAAGCCAGGGCCAGATCACACAGTGTGTGTCGGCCACTCTGAGAGAGATGGGAAGTTACTGGAGGGTTGTGAGGAAAAAAAAGTTATAATCTGACTCACATTTTAAAAGATTCTGGGCCCTTTACTGAGAATAAACTACAGAGGTCAAGAGTAAAGCAGAGAAGCCACTGAGGGGCTAATCTAAGAGAGAGGATGGTAGCAAGGACAAGAGTGATAGCAACAGGGATAGTAAAAAGTGGGGCAGATTCTCAAAATATTTTTGGAATAAAAAGTAAATAGGATATGCTAATAGATTTGATGTGGGATTTGAAAATACCAAAAAGTCACCTGAAGATAGTTACCCTGGATTTAAAGTGAGACACCGTATATTGGTGGGTGTTGTTCCAGCCACACTCATTTAGCTGCATGGGTAGAGAGTGATTTGCATTCAAGTAGAGCTAAGGTTTTCTCAACCATGTACAGTAACTGAAAGGAACAGGTAGGTTGAAGATAGTAAATGCAATGTAACGATTACATTTATGAAACAGGGAATCTAAGTTGATTAAGAAGGGGGTTGGGCCCTGGCTGCACAGCTCACTTGGTCAGAGTGTCATCCCGTAACACAGACGCTGTGGGTTGGATCTCGGGTCAGGGCACATACAAGAAGCAACCAAGGAATCCAGTGAATGCATAACTAAGTGGAACAACAAGTCCAAGTCTCCCTCCCTCCCGCATTCCCCATCCCTCTCCCCCCCTCCTTTCTCCCCCCCTCCTCTTTTTCTCTCCCTCCCTCCCTCAAATAGAAAGAAAAAAAAAGAGGGTTGAGGGAAATGAAAAATTGGTAAATCAACTGATTTTAAAGTCTTGTGTGGATTTAAAAATTACTGAAGTTGGGTTACTAAAGGAAGTAAACTGGAAAGACAGGAGACAGTAGACAAAGACTGGGATGTGTGAAATTGGTATTATGAAGAGGATGACTAGGTCTTCAGGATAACTACATTAGTGTAGATGTGGGGGGCACAGCAAGATGATTAGAGGCAGAGAATCCAGTGAAATGAGAGACCATGGTATTAGAATAATCTGTATGAGTATTGAAATTACTAAGAATCGTGACAGCATAGTAACTGAGTGACTGTGACCAAGGAGCCAAATTCTTCAAAAAATTCAGTATCATTATAAAGAAAGTGTCATTACAGCAAAAATTTTTTCACAGTCTAACAGATAGTCTTTGTTACTTTATTGATCTAGAGTGACAGACTCATGTAAGAACTAACTCTTCTGAACTTCTCAATTATTTGCATTAAGGCAAATATAGAAGAAACTGGCTCTTCAACTATTCGCTGATTCACTTGGAAAGGAACCAGGACATGACAGTAAAGAGGGAAGTCTCCAGAGCCAAACTGCCTGGGTTTGATTCCCTGTCTGTTACTATTTGTGGGACCTTAAGCAAATTACTTAATCTCTCCTGCTTCTGTTCTTTCATCTATAAAATGGGGACAATAATAGTACATATCTCTACATATTATTGTGATCAATAAAGTAAGTAAATACAAATAAATCACAAGGAGCAATGTCTGGCACATACTCAGTAAGTATTAGCTAGTGTTACCGGGGTTTGTATATCCACTCATTTATTCATGATCTACCCAGCATCTTCTAAGTGCTGGGAAGGCTAAGAGAAATACATGTAGAAAGATACTATACAGTAAAATTCTGAGACGAAGAGAGCAACAGTGGTCTGTATAGGACAAGGTAACAGGAGTATAGAGAAAGGAAATTTCTAAAACTGCTTAGGGAGACAGGAAAGGTCTCACAGATAAGGTAATGCTAACAGATGAGGAAAAATGAGTCAGGCAGCCTTGGAGGCAGAGAGGAGGTACATGCCTTACCAAGGGAGTATCTGTAAAAGCATGAAAGGACGTGGCGTCCAAGAGCTGGTACAATCAGCAGGGCCAGGGCATGGGGGTCTTGTATCCTAAGAAGTTTTTATACACACAAGTAATATATGCATAGCTACACTTTTCACCCATCTTACCCCACACATTCCACTCCACCTGAGCAAAAATATAAGCACAAAAAGGAAATCCTGTGGGTGAAATATATTAGAAAACCTTCGGCTTCACTCTGTTGGAGTCAAAGCACTTCCATGTACTGTACAGTGACAATTCTAAATTCAGAGACCATTCAAAAGAAAATTACAAATGATAAGAAATGTTACACTCCTAGCCATTCA